CTTTTTGTAAAAAAAAATTTTTTACTGTACTATAATAAACACATAGAAAGAGACATTTTGCTTAATTTTTACAAACTGAACACATATAGCGCACAGATAAAAAAAAAATTTTAAAAAAAAGAGTAAAGGCCCGTTAGGAACTCCTTCTCCATACATCCTTCCAGTTGTTAGCTTCACCCCCATCCCTAGGTAACCACTCTCCTGAGGCTAAGCAGCATAGGTCATTGCTGTTTTTTAACTATAGCAATGGAATCATTCCGTATGGACTCTTTTGTTTTGTCTGATTGCCATCACTTAACGTTATGTTGTGAAATTCACAACTGCTATTCAAAAAGAGGTCCCTTATTTAGTGACTTAATAGAGAGGTCTGGTGTAGCTACCATTTGAGTAGCCACTCATCTTTCTCTGTTTTAATTGGCCCACCTGCACATCTATGGAGCAGCAATGCCTCATACTCAGGAAGAGGGTTGTAGTATCCTGAAGAAGCTTCTGAGTCATCAAAAAACAGCTTCTCATTTGTTCTTTGTTCTTTTTCCATACAATGATCAAACTCATGCTGAATTCTAATTTATTTATTCACTAATAGTTCTTGTGTTTTTACTCTCTAGAAGGTGCTATAAAGTAAATTTAAAAAAAAAATGGAATCTGGTCCCTAAGGAGTTTGCAGGTTTTAAGGAAGATAAGTAACTCTAATACAAATTAGAATAGGTTTTATTTTAAAAAACATATAGGTACTTTGATTAATTTTTATACTGGCAACCTAGATATGTTAAACATTATATTCTGGAATATTAGGTTAATATACTAGTAAAATGTTATGTCTGAATTTATTCTAAGCATTCATCAGTAAGTTCATCAATGGCAGACAGAAGTTCAGATTAAATGCCATAGAGTCAAATTTTATTCTCTTCTGTGAATCCAAGGACACCTATACTCCACACAAACACATTTATTTAATCGGTAAATAGATATTTTCTGCTTATCTCTCCATCCTTCAGGGAATATTTAAAATCCTTTCTTTTCTCAGTTATCTGCTAGAGAGTTTAGTTCTGCCATCTGATCAGTATACTTATTTATTCAACAAATATCTGTTTAGCTTACTTTGTGTGAAATATAGTGACACGCCCTGGATATGAAATTATGAAAAGCCCCCACACTATCCTTGCCCTCCTAGCATTTACAGTCTCAGGAAAGAGATACAGTGTTCAACTGGTCACATACTATAATTTCAAATAATGCTCTATGTAGTGAATTTAATAGTGCCTCCCCCCCAAAAAAATTCATGTCCTCCCAGAACCTCAGAATGGGATCTTATTTGGAAATCAGATTTTTGCTAATGTAATCAGTTAAAATCACACTGGTTTAAGGTGGATCCTGATTTCAGTGATCGGTGTTTTGGTAAGAGAAAAGAGAAAGATTCAGATAGAAAGACAGAAACTGAGGGGCAAGAAGGCATTTTGAGGACACAGGCATATAGTGAAGGGATGCAGCCATAAGGCAAGAAACACTAAGGACATGAGAAGCTTGGAAAAGTCAAGGACTGGTTCTTCCCAAGAGCCTTCTGAGAGAGCATGGCCTTCTGGGACTTTGATTTAGGAACTCTGGCCTCCAGAGCTCTGAAAGAATAAATTTCTGTTATTTTAAGATACCAGTCTTAAGATAATTTGTTATAGCAGTCCTAGGAAGCTAATACAATATGTATTAGATTGAGCCATACGAAATTGCCTATTTTGGGGTGCTTTGACCTACACAAACAACAATATAGTCCAACCCAATATGCAATGAGGAAGACCTTGTTGGTCACAGAAAGCTTCTCTGAAGAATTGGTAATGGAACTGAAATCAGAAGAACAAGTAGAAAAAGTTGATGAAGAATAAAAAAGAGACGGGGGGAGAAGAGCTCCCAACAGAGGGACCAGCATGTGCAAAGCCTCTGAGGCAGAGGGTCCAGACAATTTTGAGGAACTAGAAGAAGATGATATGTAGGCAGAGAGCCAGATGAGGCTGGACAGGTAGGGAGTAGCTAAATCGGGTATTAACTCGGAAAGATTGAGAGTTTTGAGAGCAATGGAGCACCATTGAATGGTTTAAGCAAGAAGGTGAGAATACTACTAGGGCGTGGAGAACAGATTCGAAGGAGCCAAACCAGATGGGAAGACCATGGAAGCTAGTACAGGAGCCCAGGTGGTATCTTTGACCAGAAAAGTATTGGTATGGATTGAGAGAATGGACACGCATAGGGGCTTTTAGAAAAGAGCCTCATATTTTTGTTTTGATGATATCTCCTGATTAATATACCATTTGCTCTTGAGTCTTTTGAACATTTAATTCTCATAAATGTGTATACCAGTGTTGGTACCTATAGATCCCCTATGTTGCCTAACAGTTAGGTGTAGCCATTCTGCTGCCCAAGAAGTCTCCGAAAGTAGAAGTAGCATCTTCATTTTTTTTTCTTATTTGTCTCTTTGCTGCTCACCTGTGTATCCAGCACTTTGTTTATATCTTGGCTAGAGTAGCTCTTCTATTTTATTGTCATAATCTGTTTTTATAACCATCTATTCGTTATAATGTGGATTCTGTGAGGGTAAATGCTGTCTTAGTTATTTTTCTAGCCCCAGAACTTAACAATGACCTGGCCTCTAGGATTTGATTTATAAGTGACTGCATCAATGTATAAATAAATCTGTCGGCAAATGCATGAACTAAATACCTTAGTTCTGCTCTATCTTCTCCGCTTTTCCGTTCTCTTTCTTTGGCCTCATATAATTGTCTTTCTTTCTGGTCTGACTTAACTTACCAACTGCTTTTTCTTTTTCAGTATACTTTACTTAGTTGTGTCAATGAGCTTTTAGAAAAGAAGTCTCTTTTTCATGAACATCTTTGTTTATGTGTGGAACCCTTTTTCTAATCGCCTACATCTCATGGACATGCTAGTCATTTTGTTTTGTGCCTTTGGGAGCTAATCCTTTATCACTGTCATTATCATAATCATCAAATTATTGGGAACGTGCTGTGCTCAGTGCTCCATTTCGGGAGGGAGGGAGGCAATGAGCAGGAGCAACCCCTTCCCTAAATGAGATTACCACCTATGACAGGAAACCAGACAAGCCACAGAATTAAATAAAACATTGAAATGGCAAAAGTGAATTGTTTCCATTATGTAAAACAAAGATGTTAGATTTTGTAGTACAATGAGAAAAGGGGCACATTTCTCTGATCTAGAAATGAAACAAATAATCTCACTATGGCTCACAACCAATTGGAGAACTGAGCCATATATTGTATTAAAATTGTGATGTTCTCCAAAAATGCAGCCTCATGTTTTCTCTGGTCAGTTGGGATATCCCCCATATGGGTACAAGGCAGCTGCTACCTGTCTTCCCGTTATAAGAACTCTTACCGTAATCTTTCCACAAACACAAGACAAATTGTAATTATAGAGGAAAGCATACTCAACAAGAGATGAGAAGCTGATGGTTTTGGAATCATCATAACCTGACTAAAAAGGCTGCCTGAATTAGATGTACTCATCATACAGAATCCATGTTCAAAGACGCAGGTTGCAGAGTCAGGACAGGAGAGAGGGTGGACCTGCAGAGGTGAATTCCGTCTGTACAAAGGTCAGGGAGGAAGGGAAAGGTCAAGAGCAGTAAGGAAGGGCCTCAAGAGAAGCCAGCCATGGGAGGGGAAAGAAGGGAGGCTGAGCAAGTGTGGAAGCCATTACATCATATTTCAAGCAGAATTTTGCCAGCCCAGTCCATTCTTACGATGTCTCCTTCGCTCAGCGTTGGTTCCAGTTTGTGATGTTAAGCCTTGGCTTCCCTGAATCCTGATTTGTAGAAACATAAAAACCCATCAGAAAGAATATATGCACCCCAATGCTCATAGCAGCATTGTTTACAATAGCTAAGAGCTGGAAACAGCCCAAGTACCCATCAGTAGATGAGTGGCTAAATAAGCTGTGGTACATTTACATCATGGACTTCAAAAAGGAGATCTTATCCTTTTGCGACAGCACGGATGTACCTGTAGACTGTTATGCTAAGTGAAATAAGCCAGTTAGAGAAAGACAAATATTACGTGATCTCACTTATATGTGGAATCCAATGAACAAAATAAACTGACAAACATAATAGATCTAGAGGCATGGCTACATGGAACAAAATAACAGATCTCAATGTAGAGGAGGCTAGAGGGGACAGGAAGAGATTAACCAAAGAATATATATTCATATGTGCATAACCCATAGACACAGACAATAGTGTGGGGAAGGCTTGGGAGGAGGGCTTGGGTGGAGTGAGGAAAAAGGGGCAAAATGGGGATCATCTGTGATACTGTCAATGATCAAATTTTAAAAAAATTGAAACCATCTTATAGAAAAATGCATACATACATACATACATACATACCATTTGCTTATCATTTCTTATAGAGATACTTAATAGCACATAATGTAATAATTCCCAACCATCTTTTTTACTATATAGAAAACTCTTCTGTGTTGTTTCCATTTTGAGCTTTTCTTTTTAATCTGCTACAATAAGTGACCAATTTTCTTCACATTTTCCCTCTTTTCAAATAGCACTACTTAGGATTTTCATTTATTATTTTATCCATTTGGATTCTAATTCTAGCACACAATTATAAAACACATTCTATTGTTTGGTTATGTTAGTGATAAATAAGTCAACAATAAAAAATGTTTGGTATGAAAAGGGGCCTACATTTGGGAATAAAATCACATAATTTTTTTTCTTCTAATTTTTTTTCTGGTTTAGATTTTTGTTTAGTTTTGGTTTTGTTTTGGTTTTCCCATGCTCAGTTTGAGCGCTCAGAGAGCAATGGAGGGCAGGGACAGAAGTATACTTGGTAGTTCTTTGCTGCCATCTACTGTGTCTTCATGTAACAACTCTTGTTTCTTTGATTCAAAAAAATTCATAATCTATGACTTACAGCACTATAGTTTCCTCCCTTTTCTCCTTCTTTCTATTTTTTCTTTAGTTAAAGCAAAGTGAAGCAAATGCAGATACCAAGGAAAAACTCCCTCTGCGTCTTCGAATCTTTGAGAAATTTCCAAACAGACCGCAGATGGTGAAAATCTCAAAGCTTCCTTCAGATTTTACAGTTCCTAAAATCAGGTATGAACGTATTACTTTCTTTATCTCAAATATACTCTAAATTACTCATCTTACATCTGATTCAGCCCTTCTTTTCAAACTCATGTGGTTGTGAATTTTTTAAAGTTATTCTCTGTATTTCTACTCACTCTGTGTTTACAAACCATTGACCCCTTTAAGCAGTATACTCAGAGCAGTGTCATCTGACAAGTATATTAGCCTTAGCAAGAAGGCTGCTACCACTGCTCCCCCCTGAGGTGCTCCTCGGGGATTTGACTTCCCAGGTAACTGGCGAAGGTCGTTGAGGTCACAAAGATGGCAGATAGACATCCACCTCTACCCTCAACTGAGGCCCTTCTGTTTTCAAATCCATAGAGAAATGGCACTGGCAGGTTTCTGTACTACTGTAACAGCATTTGTTTAGGGTGCCATGTCTGATTAAAATATAATTTGTCTTCCTCTTTTTGTTAGAAGAACCATGGCATTACCCACTCCCACCAATTTGATTTTCTACCATTTTGCCCTCCAATTACACAGTTGCATAGAAAATGCTTTAAAACAGTTATTTTAAAAAGTTAAAGGAAATTCTTTCAGTTATAGGTCAAAAATTACAAACAGAACCAGGGTACTATGAAATATGACCTTATTATGTAACGGGTTTTAAAAAACAATTCTATGGGGCCATTATAAAAGTATGAGACTAGAGGTGGTACAATAATATTTAAAATTCAAATAGAAATATATTTTGTATTTCTGGTTTTTTAAAAAATCTAAAAGCTGAAAATATGAGGTATAAAAGACATGTAAATTAGATACAAGATTAGTGGTTATTTGAAAAGATGTTATTTGAATTCTCACCATGCTGTAGAGATTAGATGAAGTAACTTTTTTTGAGTTATTTTGAGTCTTTAAATGCAAAATTATCTCTCAGATATTCTTAAGATGATTGGAAGTTCAGAGAAATTAACTAATTCTTTCAAGTCTTTGAAGGGGAAAAAGTATCTTATTACCACAATAGGATTAAAAGATACTATGAATTACCAAACTCATAGTATCTTTTAAGTTATTTCAGGGACATTACCTTTGTAAAGCAGTAATGACCAAGATTTAGGAAACTTTCTCTAAATTCATTACTTTGGTAATTCATCTATGTCATATCTTGTTGTCTACAAACTTTGTCAGTGCTTTATTATAGCTTAAGCAAAATGCCACCACTTGCTCCATCTCATCAATAATGCTTCATGTATGTCTACTTCATTTGCAAAGGGAAAGTTTTATGAAGCAGTTTATTGATCGCCAGCAACAGGACACTTGCTGCCTCTTAAGAAGCCTTCCATCAGCGTCTTCCTCATCATGTGATCACTCCAAACGGTCTGCAATTGAGGACAACAAATACATTGACCAAAAAGTAAGCACCCCTGTCTCTAATAACCACATTTATCTTAAGCGCATATGTTAGAGAACAAAACCACAGAACTGTGTGGGGTTCTGAAATCTAATGTCTCAGGAGATTAATGAGAAACATTTCTTTGTAGAAGGAATCATTACACCTAACATTGCTTAATTTATAAATTTAAATTTTGGATTTCTATAAGTGAACATTCGAGCCATGCCATGTAGCAGAAGTGTGACTTGGAATAGGTCAGTTCCCTCCTCTAACCTGCATTTTCTCACCTGCAGCAGGAAGGGCTCAGGTCTCTACGGTTCAGCCCAGGTTTAACGGTTGCCTGTCTGTTGCCTTTTGCAAGAAACCATGCTTATTTCAGTTGTTATACACCAGGGAGAATAACCAGAGCAAGTTTCCCTAAAATCAGTCAAAATAATTACCACTTATTGCCATTAGTAAGTGGCAGGAATTTTCCTAGACACATTATCTAACTCATGCTCTGATTTACCTATTTCTTTGTCATTTGAAAAGTGATATGGAATTTTTTTTCTCATATTCCACTGTTAGAACATGAAAGATCAATGATTAAAATGAGATTAAAGATGAGAGTTTGCAAAGGCATCTAATATACTTGCAAGTATTTCTTCTCATAAGTCTTAGTTTATTTTTAATTTCTTTAAATCCTTCGTGCCCTTTTTGTTTATAATCAAATACATATTTCTCTATCATCATGTAAAAATAAAATACCAACTCTTTCATTTTCCAGCATTCTCTATTTCTCCCCCCATTTCCCTCCTACCCCATAAGGGTTATATTATCAGAGTACCTTTGCTTTTCTCCTCTCCTTCTTTCCCACCATCCCCTACTCAAACTTGAACTTCTCCCCCTTACCATCCTCCTGCCAATTCCTCTGTTTTCTGCTGTAGTTTAGTGATTATGTTCTCAATTGTTATGATCATCATTTCTTTTGCAACATGTCTGTTCTTGTTCAAGGATTTTTATTTATTTAATAGAGGCCCGATGCACGAAATTTATGCAAGACCCTTGGCCCCTACCACTGCGGCAGCCCCCTCTGCCTCAGCCCCCCACCTGCTGCGGCTTTGTCTGGAAGGAAGTATGTCCAGAAGGACATCAGTCTAATTAGTATATTATGCTTTTATTATTATAGATTTTCTTTTAATCATCAAAGGATTTCATTCTTCTATATCATAGATTCCAACATTATAGATTGGAAATCTAATGTCAATCTCTTTTTTTTTTCACTTGAAAGATTTATGTTGTTGGTTGGTTGGTTTTCTGATTTCTTTGGGGAAGCTTGTAAGACTTTCTGAGCATCCTTAGAGTTCAGATCTTTACTGTGATATACTTTGTATGCCTCTTATCATTTGAACTGTCCAAACTAGGGAGTCTTCTCAGCTGGCAGGCTAAGATATTTGTCAGGAAAATTTTTATTATTTATTCAGTTATTACTTTTCCATCTACTCTTTTTCCCCCTCCTCATTTTCGCTTATGATCGGTGTCTCTCTATTTTTCTCTGTGCTTTAAAATATTTGTTCAGCTTGATCTTCCAGTTCACTAATTTTGTCTCAACTAAGATCATCCTTTGCTTTTAAATTTTGAGTGAAAAGTTATGAAATGTGTGTGTGCACACACATGCACATGCAGTACTCTTAGCTCACCTTAAAGACTTAAACTCTTTTTATTATTATTAAATATGTCTCCTTTATTCTCCACAGTTATATTTCACTCAATATTATATATAGGGCATGGATGCAAAAGTTCATATGTCAGCTAACAATCTGGTGAGAGGATAAAATGGCCTGGTTTCATCCAGTGAGTCTGAAATTGCATTTTACATACTAGGAATGCTTATTTCCTAAATTTTATTTCAAAAGATGGTAAGCCATAGGTGTACATTGAACCCTCACATAGGGTTGTGGCCAGCTCTCTCCAGGAAGAGTGTGGAGAGCTGATATCATTTTATGCCCAAAGTGTGAAATCCAGAACATGCTTTTTAAAAATCACTAGTAACATTATCCCACTGGAAACACAAAATCCTATATAATAAAAGGCTAATATGCAAATTGTCCCCTCGACCAGGAGTTCAAACAGGGGGCAGGGCCGGCCAGCCAACCACCGTAGCCCCTCCCCCTCCAGCCCATCCCTATTGGCCCTTATCAGGGCGGGCTGGCAAACCCCACCCATGCACGAATTCGTGCACCAGGCCTCTAGTTAAACTATAGTTCAGAAAACATATTTTCTCTCTAAAAGGAAACATAACGTTTTTCAAAAATTTGAACAGCATGTTTTGAAATAGGTAAGGAAAAAAATTTAAAAGATTCTTGGCAGGTGTGGAGGGTTGTGAGTAAAGTTTAAGGAGAATTTGTCATACCCTTTTGTGTGCCACCAGCATCCCTCCTAGGGGATCATTGTCTTGGGTTACACTCAGAGAACTTCATATGCCATTTCTGATTTCTTTGTGTCCTTATATTTTGGGGGCTTTTTAAAAATCTTCTCATTTAACAGTTATCTTTAATTAACTGAAAGTAAGAGGATAATTATAGTTGTATTCTGTAATCTTATACTTGAGCCTCCCTCATAATCTCCTAAAATACAGTGAACTGGCAATACCCTGCTTCTTGGTGATAGCCAAGTCACTCAGCATCTAAAAGAAACTAGAATTGTTGAAGAGGGTTGGCAGTCCCCAATCTATAAGGTCAGTTGATTGAAACACGCAATACAGGATCTTATACAAGAAAAATAAATTGTCAGTAATGGTTAGGCTGCCCTTCATTCCCATGAAAGCCTAGTTGGAATAATATTGTTTATCCCCTTAACAGCCTTCATGATCTGGGTAAATGCTGCAATGCAGAAAGTGGGATATAGAGAATGTATTTTCTCTTCATCTTAGTGGCTGCTACCCAGTGTGGCAGCAGCAAGAAGACTTACCCGTGTGGCCATCCATTCTTAAAGCTTAGGTTGCCTGAAAAGTAAACTTAATAACATCTTTCACTTCAGCTCCATCAGTTACTGGAGTTCTTCGTAAATACTTAGGACTCATCATCCTTGTTGAGTGCCACTTGGGCCAGGGAACTCAAACCAGACAATCCCACCCACTGAACATCAGAGGTGAAGATTTGCAGGAAGCAGGAATCAAAGAGAAAGCAGTTTGGTATTTTCATTTTTTAATATGGCAAGCCCTTTTCACTTTTATTAAGAAACCCTAGAGCCACTTAAAAGCAAAAATACATAAACACCAACAAAAATCCTGAACAGAGATTAGCTCCCCAGTAAAGTATTAGGAAATTTCCATTACAATCCTAGTTGTCTTCGGAAATGCCAGTCAGTGTCATATGGATGGCAAGGCACTTCACTTTATGTGAAAAAATTCTTCCAACACCAACACAAATTGAGACTGTTTTTCCTCAAAAAGTGGTAAGAAATAAAAAGAAAATGAAAGTCTGGCTTATCAATGATTCTATAATATGACAAAGAAACAATAAAATAAAACCTTCCCCTTAATGATTACCAGGAAGGGGAAACTTCACTACCCTACAGGGAAGCACTTTTGCCAGGGAAAACAGAGTCCCAGAAACCTAAAGATCACAAGTGAAGCAGGGGAAAAAAGACCAAACCTGACAACAAAGGCTAAGGGGCAAGGGGAGGGAGAGTAATTAAGCCAGTTGGTCGGCAAACTCATTAGTCAACAGAGCCAAATATCAACAGTACAATGATTGAGATTTCTTTTGAGAGCCAAATTTTTTAAACTTAAACTATATAGGTAGGTACATTGTTATTAACTCAATTAGGGTACTCCTAAGCTGGCCTTTGCTAAAACGTCCTCAATCTGATTGAGGTACGTTCGCTGATGTTGACCCCTTCCAACTCTCCCATCCACACTCGTCTTTGTTAAGCAATGCAGGAAACACAAAAGCACACATAAGGTAAGGTTTTCTCAGAGTAATTACCCTGGGTTTAAACATCCATAAGCAATTCCTATGGCAGTCTCACTCTGCAGAGGTCATGCTTTTAAAATAGCCGTGTTTAGTTACCTTTATCATGTGGTTTAACATACTTGTTCTTCTCCTTGTAAACAATAAGCAGACAAAAATGTAAAAGCCTGAAGCCATTGTTGAGGCCTGCCCAGATCCTACAGAAAGGATAAATCTGCAAATCTTGAGAGGAGTTTTTCTAGTTTCCAGGCAGAAGAAAATCAGTCAGTGGTTTTCTACCTATTTTTTTCTCCATATTATTGAAATTAAACCCTAGGTTTATTAAGTTGAGTGCTTGTTAATAAACTGAGACGTAACTTGGCTTTCCAATAACTCTAGTTAACAAAAGCAGCCCAGTCAGTCCTCAGACAGGAATCATCTCATCAAAGTCAAGATCCCACTGTAGTTGGATCAGGGCACTCAAGCTGTCCTTTAACTGAGCTACGTGATCTTTCTGTCCTGCTGTCCTGGATGGCGTGCCATATCTGGGATCAACATCTACAATGATCTGAAGAAAATGAGTAAACTCACAGAGTTATATCAGCCTGAGGCCCAGGGAGGGATTGGGGCTGTCCCAGCCAACTCCTATACAGTGCCAGAACCCATATATGTAAGAACAGTGAATATTTCTCAAATATTATGCTCATAAATAATTATGATTAGTGGACATTTGGTCCCCTCTAAAACATCCATAGAGACATTTGATCTGCACAGTTAATAAAAATCTCACTCTTCTGCAACGTTCGAACCCCTACCCCTCTACCTAACCCATGTGCTGTTACCAGCTAGGTTACCAAGGCTAGAAGAGTTATTATTGACAATACAGCCATAACACAGTTATTGGACCAATAAAACATGATAGTATTTTATGGATTAATCCTGTAGACCAAAAGTATAAATACATCTTATATTTGAACCTAGTGGCATTTTTCTCTGTGTGGACACTTGACAGAATCAAATATTAAGGACCACTTGGTGTAGACCAGATGTCTCCATGGACATTTTGAACAGGACATATATGTCCTGCAA